ATTATAATAAATGAGATACTAAGGCTATATCAGGTTTTACTGATAAAGAAATGGCTACACTTTCATTTGTCTTATTTCTCTAAATCAAACCTATTATACACCAGCCTCAAAATTGTTCATCATTGCCACTTCTTGTTGAGTTGCCACCTTTCTTCTCAACAACAGCTCTGTTTTTACAGGTGCCAAGCAAATGAAAAATAACGGCTGCCCCCTCACAACTAAATGGCAAATAGAAGCAAACTCTGCTACATTTCTGCCTTTCTTGCTACTATCTAAGAAAACAGTAGCCCTCTAGCATATTAGACCATATGATTGGATGCTTATTTTTATACAAAAGCTGAACATTGCTTACGTCAACACACACATACACCAAATGACTGTGAGTTTAGATTCTGCAGATCTCAACTTTGAAAATGCTATGTCCTTTCAACTGACTAAAAGCTTTTGATAACTTTTTTTAAAGTCATGTAACATTATGTTCTCAGGATTCTAACTGGTTATCACTCTCTGACCTAGATGTCAGAAACATTTGTTCTGAAATGCATGGAGCCTTTGAATACACAGCATTGAACACATTTCACATTGGACCTGCAAGTGGGTAACATAGAGCACAGATTCCGTACTCTTCCCTATGTGTCTTCTCTAGCTAATAAAAGATACAGGAAAGCTATCTTTATGTGCCATGAAATCAAAGCCATAACTGAACCAGGGGAAGACAACATGCACTCCAGGAAAAAAAGTTTTATCATTTTTTCCTATAATTGAGAAAGTAGTCATGATCTCTAGAATTGCCTCTAACCAAAAATGGCTCTCTTTGGAACTGAATGGAAACCTGTACGCAAAGTAGAACAGCCTCAGATTTGCAATTTTTGCTTCTAGAATTCAGGCCTAATTTGAATAATCCAATTGAGTCTCAGCTCTCTCTAGATGCAAAAATTATGAAACTAAGGCTTTTGTGCTTTGGGCACATCATGAGAAGACTCACTGGAAAAAGCATTAATGCTACGAAAACTTGAAGGCAGCAAGAAAAAAGAAGAACAAATATGAGACGAACTGATTTAATAAGTCAAAGATGACTTAATGGCACATAACATCATGCTGTCTCAGTCTATTTCTGTTATAGTGTTGATCTCAAAATGAACTGGGTTAGGCAAGATCCATATATACTGCTTCAAATTCATTGGAATAAAGTATTCATATGTAACTAAGAAACAAAAACTTATTCAGCAGCTTCCATTTACCATAGAGTATGAACCCACATCTTCCATTCAACACTTTGAATTTCTCAGTAAGAAGGCAAATGCAAGAATAGGTGATACATTTATAGGCCACTAATAAAATATTAAGAAATCACACAATATGTACTTTCATAGGTAAATCCCACTTCTTTAAAGCAAGTACCCAAAGTCCAAACTTTTGGGTTTGTCCCAAATGTTTGGACTTCGGGTACTTGTTTTGAAGAAGTGGGATTTACCCACAAAAGCCTGCATATTGTATGATTTCTTTTTTTTTTATTAGTGGCCTATAAAGGTATCACCTTTTCTTGCATTTGTATTTTGTAATGACCACATGACTCCCCCCACTTTTATTTCAGTAAGAAGGATTATTTTAAAAAAAAGTCTGACACAATCATGTTTCCAGAAGAGGCAGACACATTTCCTTTTGGAAATCCCCATCCCAGCCAGTCTGAGGTAAGCTAACTGGAGACAGGGACAGCAATGAAAGCAGGAGCGAGCATACAGAAATGAAATATTTTATCAGTGTTCTAAAGTAACACTAAAGACATGGCTAAGACACTAGTGGACACTGGGATACTTTCTTGTATTATGAGATACCGTAGTTACTTATATAAGTTAGCTCACTGGCCATCCCCATCAAACAATCTATTTTCTTCCCTGCAGTCACTTTCAGTTCAATAGTGAAGCATGTGTGTATCTTTGTTGTTGATTTAACTCCTTACGTCATTCAATCATAACTAGCAATACAATTAAAACATACATAAACATCCTCTACTACTTTTGGGTTCCACATATACAAAACTATTGTGATATCGGTGTCTGAATATAGAGCCCTATTATATATTGCGACAACATAGTTTGAAAACTTACTGCCAAAATTACTTTTCTAAGGAGAGGGGCTGATAGTTTATGTAAATAATTAATTTATCTACGATATAATTTCAAAAAATGTAAACGAGGGGGGAAAGATGAAATTTTAATTGCATTCAAATCTTTGCTGCACATAAAAAATTCCTCAGCTCTTCCTTTATAGATTTATGAGACTGTTGCAAAGTTCTTATTTGGAGGACTTATAGAACCCATAATGAGGCATGACACTAAGTAACAGTTAAAGCAGCATTTTTGGAACTACTTGTTTTTTGCTAAAGATTAGAATCAGAATAGTTAAGGAAACAAAAAACCCACAAAAACGCATATTTACAAAATACCTGGCAGCAATAGTATGGAGGTGGTGGCAGTGGTTTTGAGAAAGTGACATGGAATTGTATCCTGACAAAATGGAGGGCTACGGTGAGTAGAAACAGAGGCTCAGTTACTCACTTTCCAGGGGGTGCATTCCCCTTGTTTGTTGTGATTGGGGGATACTCCTTCATTTTGCCAGCACTATGCCTGGATTTTCAGGTGGCACTAGTAACAAAAGTGTTTTTGCACAACTCAGTTTAAGTATGCCAGTTATGATCTTTCCTGAGTTGAACTGACTTGGCAGTAATCACCCATGCCTTAGTTACATCCGTATTAACTGTATCAATGTGCTCTATATGGCTCTGCCTTTCAAGGGCATTCAGGATCTTTAGTGGGGGCAATACAGTATGTGGAAGCTAGTCTGCTATAGTACACATGATACTGAGATGATTCAAATGTCCCCAGTTCTGAAAGACTTGCACAGATTGCCATCTGTTTACCTGGCCCAATTCAGGGTGTTTTAACTTTCAAGCCCTGGCCAACTCTGCCTCAGTTGTTTAAGGGACTGCCTATTTTGTCATGAATTTGACTAGATTCTTCAGGACTGGTCGTTTTGAGAATACCAGCAGCTGTAAAGATCAGCCTGACAGGCACATAGAAGGTGGTTTTTCCTGAGTGGTCTCCAGATTGTAGGGACGTGGTGGCGCTGCGGGCTAAACCGCAGAAGCCTGTGCAAGCAGTCGTAAGATCGAATCCACGCAACGGAGTGAGCGCCCGTTGCTTTGTCCCAGCTCCCGCCAACCACGCGGTTCGAAAGCATGCAAATGCAAGTAGATAAATAGGGACCACCTTGGTGGGAAGGTAACAGCGTTCTGTGTCTAAGTCGCACTGGCCATGTGACCACGGAAGATTGTCTTCGGACAAAACGCTGGCTCTATGGCTTGGAAACGGGGATGAGCACCTCCCCCTAGAGTCGAACATGACTGGACAAAAATTGTCAAGGGGAACCTTTACCTTTACTTACTCCAGATTGTGGAATGCATGGCTAGTAGTTTTCATTCCTACGGTTTTTAGGAAGCATGTGATGATTCCTCTTTTTACACTTACAATATTGTGTTATATTGTGGTAACTTTAATGGTTTATAACTGCTTTATAGATTTTGCTGAGTTTCTGCCATATCTTACTTTATACCATTTTATCAATTTTATGGCAGAATTTGTTTTTATTGGTTGCTTTTAGGATGACTCTAATCTTACCTTGTAATGGAAACATAAGGGAAAAATCTAATGTTATAATCCAAGTAGCAGCAGTATATGGATTACAGCTTTTGAGATACATTTTTTCTAAATATCTAAATTTAAACCATATTTTTGATTCTGCATTCATGTAAATCTAATTCAATTATTTCAAGGGAAAAAATCTTACACTATTAGGATAGTACTTACACTAATGTCTTGGTTCACAGAAAATTAGTAGAACATGCAAAATTAATTTCTCTGCATTCATGTATTCACTGTCTGTTTATAAAACTTCCAACATCAGATGCCTCCAATAACCACAAAGTAAACATATAACAACTGCTGACTTATGTTTTCAGTGCTACTACAGCCACTAAGCACGCCTTTGACAAACAGTATTTCTGCAAAGCAGCTATGTGTAAAAGCTCCAACTTACAAAGGCCATATTAGAGGAAGCACTACATGATTACACTGATGACAAACCTTGTAGAAAATTTAACTTATTTATGGCTCCATTACACATATTTAATGTAATGAAATTATAATATAATATAGCTGAGCATCAAAAATCGCTTTTGGTACTTTTCTGTTGCATGTTAATTTTATTTCAAACAAAGACACAACTTACTTCAGCAGAAAAGAGTCTATCACCCCTCTGGTTTACATCAAAACACAAACAGATAGCATCCTTCACTAAATCACAAAGAATCTGCAACTGGCTATATGGATAAAAGACTTAGTAGTCCCAAACAGTACCGTGTTTCCCCAAAAATAAGACAGGGTCTTATATTAATTTTTGCTCCAAAAAACACATTAGGGCTTATTTTCAGGGGATGTTTTATTTTTTCCCACACAACAATCTACATTTATTTAAATACAGCATGTCATCTTCCGGTTGCTGCACAATGCTGCACAGTGGTGGAGGGTGGGGTTTCACTTAAGTGGGGCTTATTTTGGGGTTAGGGCTTATATTACCAGCATCCTGAAAAATCGTACCAGGTCTTATTTTCAGGGAAACAGGGTAGCAAGCAGTCAAGTTCAATAGATTCTGTGCTTCTTCCCACTTGATTTTCCTGTTCCCAGATTTTGTACACAACTGTCCTCTTCTCTGACTGAAAACTTGATCGAAACAACTGTTCCATAGCAAAAATAGAAACATGGGGTCAAGATTAACTCCCAATAATGTGTTTAGGAGACCCTTTGTTTACTGATATTCTACATACCTCTCTGACCATCGCCTGCTAATAGCCAAACTTGCTTGATTCTAAACACGTTCCAAAGAACCGGATCCACTGTAGCTAAAAACGCCCAAATCTCAGCCCTTCCGCACGCATGAAATACCTGCACGGCATCACCGAGTTACCAGAAACATTCCTGCTCCCTCAGGTCAGAACAAGGAAATCTTTATCAGCAGCGCTTCTCCTTTTGGAAATTTAAAAAAAAATGGACTTGAAAGCATCGAAGTCTAACAATCACACATACAGGGCCTCCGAAGTCACCGGCGCCAAGGGCCATCTCACACATTACCCCGCTGAGACTAGACTCCACGGGAACGAGAGAGACGGGTCACCAACAGGCGTGCCCACATCCCTGCTCATCGCGTGTGCGAGTTAGGTTCTAGGTGTCTTCAGGAAGGCGTGATGAGACCCCCAGGTACCAGGCTGAGAAGCCCCCCTTCGGTCTCCTAGCCCGGCTCCGCCTTCTTCCTCCGCACCTGAAGCTCTGCCCAAATACCCCGATTGGCTTCCCCATCAAACCCTTAACGTTCATCCTCCTTTCACACGAAGCTTAAAACCCCACAGCCGCGGCGGCCAGGACAATACCCCACGAAGGGCATCCCGGATTTCCCCTCCCCTCACGCAGGCGACCCCTCCCACTCCACAACCCGGCGGGCCTCCAGGTAGCTCCCACCACTCCCCCCCCTCACCGGCTCCCGGAGCCACGCGCACGCCTGCGCGCTCCCAAACTCCCCCTCACAGGCGGCGGGGAGAGNTCTCACCGGCTCCCGGAGCCACCCGCACGCCTGCGCGCTCCCAAAGTCCCCCTCACAGGCGGCAGGGAGAGAGAGAGAAGCCGCCCCCGTCTCGCCGGTTCCCGCCTTCCACCGACCTGCCCGGCGTCCCTCTCTGTCGTGCGCGTCGCCACCGCCTTCGTTGTAGCCGCCGCCGCCAGTGTCCCCGCTCGGCCCCACTCTCCATCCAGCCTCCTCAATCAGCCTGAGATTGACGGCCCGCCACCGCCAACCGCCGTGCCAGCCGCCTGAGACACTTGGCCAATTGGCGCGCGAAGAGGCGGGGCAAGACGGAGAGCCGAGGCCCCTGAGAATCTTCTTAGCCAATCAGGGTCTGAGGCCGGTGGCTGGGGCGGCGGGTGGGCGCGTGTGTCTCGAGCAGGCTTAAAAATCCCTTTTGTTCGCGGTGGTTGAGTTAGACAGAGAGTTGTAGTGATTGAGACGTCATTTCCGGTTTCATAGTCGCGAAAAAGCCAAAGCGAGGATTTGAGAGTTTTTAAGGCTCGTCGGAATATAAACTCGTCGGGTTTTGAATTCTCTGGCGTTAATTTTACATTAAATATATTGGGTTTTTTTCTCTCGAAAGCCTCGTTCTGCAATAAATATTCTCGTTTGTATTTTCTTTTACCTTTATGTGTTTTGAAATATATTGGTGTATAACAAGAAGAAAAGTGTTGCAATACAAACTTGTTTCAGTGTTACTAATTTTGGACCACAAGCCGCCTAGAGTGGTCTTAAGTGACTGGATAGGCGGGATATTAAATAAATAAATAAATACATACATACATACATACATACATACATACATACATACATACATACATACATACATACATACATACCTTCTGGGTTGATCAATGCAGGCAGAACTGAGGAGAAATGTGACTCTAGCTGTAGTCTCTAGAGGAGCGGTATCCAATCTTTCTTGAGTTGTAACCACCTTTTATAATAGCCAGGTAACCACAACCCCCATGCTGTGTTTGCATAAAAAAATCTTTAATAGGATAAAGTAATCTCAGAAAGCAGAGTCTCCTTTCTCCTCAAAAGGAAAGAAAGGCAATTTGTCATACATACACATAGATGCTAACTGTAATATTTCAGTCTGAAAAGTCAAGGGAAAAAGTATTTAACAAGAGCTGCAACATACATAAGGTGACCCCATGCCGAAAACACTTTACAACTCTCTTGGGAGTCACAACCCCCAAGTTGGAAAACACTGCCCTAGAGAGGAAGTCTCACAGATATGTATCTTCATAATTACAATTGCGTTTGGCAGAGCTGACACAGTAATTGTTCTTTAGCGATTGATAGGCCTTCTATGTTCATACAGATTCGTCGTTTAGTCGTGTCCGACTCTTCGTGACCCCATGGACCAGAGCACGCCAGGCCCTCCTATCTTCCACTGCCTCCTGGAGTTGGGTCAAATTCATCTTTGTTGCTTCGATGACACTGTCCAACCATCTCATCCTCTGTCGTCCCCTTCTCCTTTTGCCTTCACACTTTCCCAACATCAAGGTCTTTTTCAAGGAGTCTTCTCTTCTCATGAGATGGCCAAAGTATTGGAGCCTCAGCTCCATCATACAGATTACAGTATTGTTAATTTTAGCTCTAACAAGGGCCTTTTTGATATTGATGGCAGTTTGTGGGCTATTGTGAAAATCTCATAGAGTCAAAGTCATATGGTCTCCCACATGCTGCTTCTGGTATGGATGAATCAGCGGACAACTGATATTATCTGCACAAATGTTCTTGATGTTGCCTATTAGGCAAAAATTAACTGATATAATTATTAAATGCAAGACTGTGGTTCTGACACAAAGAAAGCCATATACAGGTCTGAGATCTATTAGTAATTGCTCATCTGAATAAAAAGGAATTTGAAGTCTTCAGCTCAAATGTGAAACACTTTTTGCATTTGTTGTAGCTTTAGAAGAGATAGCCATGTTAGTTTCTGCTACCATATCAGGCAAAAAAACACAACCCCCCCCAAAAAAAATAAAGCAGATAAAACTGTTGTGGCATTTCAGTGACTGACTTCTATATCCTAATGAGAGCTTTTGTGGATCAATTTCACTTCTTTATCAACTGCTTTTTGCTACCTTCTCAGCCAATTGATAAAGAACTTATTTTGATTCCTACCACATAGCCCCCAATGTGAGTTTCTGTTTTCTTTTGATTTGTGATTCATGTTTCCAGATGTGTTTTATACTTTGTGATGTATGTGGTTAAGGAGCCAGAACTGAAACTGGCACTTAAAAGAATATGCTCTTATCTTCTGGAGCCAGTCTTAACCTTTTTCCATTCAGTGCTTATCTATATGCACTGGGGTTTTTTTTGTCAGTGGGATTTAAAGATAATAATAAAAGGGTAGGAGGGAGGAAAGGAGGTCACCATCCTACTGGCTCCGAAAGTGGCATGTGTCCATTATGCACATCCTGTTCCTTCACTTTTGATGAATGAAAATGAATAAAATTTATTCCTTGTGTTCCTGTTTGGCACCAGAGGAGTTATCTCTCTTGGTCTGTGTCTTGGACAGACCTCCCTACCCTATGTCCTTTCAAGTGATAATTAGACTAAGTCCCAATTCTGCCCAGCATAGTTAATAGCCAGGGACCATGTAGTCTAAATCAGCCAATCTCAATTTTTTCTTGGACACTGCCATAAACACAATATGAAAGAAATATAGGCTGAATCTGGATTGAATAACTTGCATGACAGACCTTATAAGGTAATGTGTGAAGAACTGTTTCCCGTCTGAGACCCCCTTCAAACGTGGCCACTGTTAAGAAATGGCTAGTCTAAACGATTTTGCACTATGCCAGGTTATGGGTGGGCTTGTCTGAAAGAGATCCAGTCCTTGGTAGTAGAACCTATAAAGACAAAGAGAGATCTGTTATATTGGATCTAAATCAATTAATTTTATTCAGCAATGACAGGCAGATTAGCCTCTGCATTGAACCTAAAATGGTTGTCAAGCCTTCTGTGCAGGTGGGCACATATGGTGTGGACACAATGTCCCTATGAATAGCAGGGTGGAAAATAAGGAGACCCTTTTAGTCTTGAGCACAGCTTGTTATCCTTGTGACAAAACTGACCAATGGTGACCTATGCAACATGGTCTATTCTCTTGTTGAGCCTGTTGCAAGATCGAAGCATATCAGCAGACTGCAAATAACATCCATGCACATGGATTGGAAAGGGTAAAGGTTTTAGCAGTCCACCATATCAGCATGCTCTCCATTCTCCTAAACCTTCTCTGAAAGGTGGCTGAATCTGCTCCACCAGGAATGGTGTGGAGCTTACATTTGAGGAGGGCACAGAACCTGCTCCTGGCTACAAGTGAGGGTAATGAACTGAAGTGGTGCAGTCTGACCACGACAATTCAGGGAACCTGCATGATTGGGGAGAGGAGGGAGAGAATAAATTCAAGAAAAACAGTTGTGACACTCTGATAGTAGTGGTTCCTCGCTTATAATTTTTTTTTTTTTTTTGGTGTTTGTGTGTTTGTGTACTGAGAGCTTGGGAAAGGCAGAGATGGGAACAGTTTATTTTATTTTAAAAGGTCAGCACACTTTGTTTATTTATATATTGATTTGCTTATGCTTTGATTATTTTTTTGGCAGTCTGGCCAGAGAATTCTGGGAGTTTTAGTCCAAAAAGATAGCTTCCTTATTTTGTGGAAATGTTCATTTTTTGGAGTACAGCTCCAGGCAGCTCGGCCAAGCTTTCACTGTACTGTATCATCTTGTATCATCTTGTTGATGCCACAGACAGTGCCAATGAATGAAGACCCACAGCAGAGAAAGCATAATTCCATTAGTAGAAACATTGTTTCAGCACTTAGAAGAGCTGCTTTGTAATACCACGTGCTTGATCAGCAGTCTTCTCATCCAGGTTCTGCATGAGTGAAGATAAAGAAGAAAGGATGGTTTAAGTCATCAGCCTCTATGGATAACTCATCTTGATGACAGCACATATTGTCAAGAACAAGAGGACTGTGTGCATTAAAAAAAAATTGTAAATTATGCCACACTAAGGGAGCGTGTCAGTTTTAGAACTGAAAATATGAAAAAAGTAAATTAAACCAGATGCAGGGGATTTTGTCAACAGAAGCATCAAAAAACTTGATAATTCTAAGAAAGCAAAACTGAGGTTTCAGACACATATTTATGCATTCCATGACATTTTTAATTGTGCCAAATGCAGAGTCTGAAGGCATGGTAAAAAATTGAACAGTTTGGCCATGCCAGCTGGAAGGGATGACTCTGGTATGTGGAAAAGTATCTGAAGGTGTTTCAAGCTCTTCTGGAGATTGATGCAGAAACATATACACCTGGAAGGAAGTTCCACTGAATATATTTAGGCTTTTGTTTGAGCCAGAAATGCATAGGTTGGGCTACATGAAGGAGTGTCTCCAAGATGATTTGCAAATGTACGTACAACAGCCACCTGCAATACACACCTGGCAGCCACAAGTGAAATATTGTTATACTGAATGTTGTAATAGGAAAAGTAGATCTATTTTCATCTCTTCTCTTATGGATTGCACTGCAGGAAATAAGATAGGGATCTGCAGGTGTCTTTGTGTATGGAAGTTAAAAATATAATATTGTTTGTATTGGAAGCATTTTAAAAATTACTTATTATAAATATACTGTTTTATGGCTGCTAGCAAGTTACTGTTTTCATTCTCTTCTCAGCACATTACATATATGAAGGATCTTGTAAATG